CAGGTAGACCACATCCACAGCCCTTCCCTTATCCACTAGGCAGGTCAACAACATTGACAGCAAACAGCAAAATTAACAGTAATTGTAAAAATCCTTTGTAAATTGTAAAAATTCTTTAATATCCATAGTAGTGCTCAGATATAAGTAGCCAGCTGTACGCTGTTTAAGCATGCAGCTTGATTTCTCTATATATGTGTATATATACAAGGTACATTCAAGATATTAATGTACAAGTTATCTCTTCAGTCTCTATACTGCCTTAAAACACAATACCATCCTCAACCCCATCCTCCTACAAAAATTTGCAAGAGAAAAAAACCTGGATAGAGCCAGCGGAAATGTGTATCCAATCTGTTTTCCCCTCTCTTTCCAAAAAAAATCATATTCTTGTGCTCCCCCAAGTATTTATCTTCTGATGAATCAGTAATGCCCAGTCAAAGCAAAACAGTTTGCATTATCTTTATCAACCACTATCACATAGCCTTCACTTTCCACAGCTAAGCAATAAGGGTGCCAAGCAGCACAGTGTATTTCACATAAAAAGATATCCAGCAACAAATGAATTAAGTTTTCTATCAGATTCACCAGGCTATACTACTGACTGACCAAGAATAAAATCAATATTAATCGTTGACTGTACAGTATAATTAAACTATATATTTCATATACAGTCTGGGAACTTTAGAAAGCATATTTGTTATTCTCCATTCAGGTGTTAAATCAAGCGTTAAAATGAGAAACATACTGTGCATGCAGACACGCACACACACAAGTGTTCACTCTCAAGCAACAAGACTTCAAAGGCTTAATGGTGAACTAAACATCATCATTACACTGCTTACACAACTTCTGATATGTGATTTTGTAAGTACTTCACTGAAATATGCTGTATTATTTCCACAACCTACTTCAAAAGAAGAGAAGTTACTTTATTACTGTTTTTCCCATCCTCACTTTTTCTCAGCTCAATAAATACCAAAAAAGCGAAATCCATGTGGATTATCAATGCTTACAGGTTACATAATCCTACAATCTAAAATGAAAGGTTGGAAGTATTTAATGTCAAAGCAAACAGCTATTACCTTCAGGTGTTTTATCTATTTGCTTACCTTTACTTGCGCTCTCAACATGCTGCAGTTCATCTGGAAATTTTAAGATGTCCCGGTAATTCTCCTCACAGGTTTCTGCCAGAAAATGCAATAGAGTTGTCTTCTGATCTGATGATTTAGTATCTCGAATCTAGAAAGTGAACACAGAAGAAAACAAAGAGAAAAAAAAATACAAGGTTTTTTTTAGTAAAATGTTTAAATAAAGTGAATATTGCAGATGTAAGCTCATTAGCAAAAAGTTACCTACACTGGTTGCCTGCAAATGAAACAAATTATTTAAAAAATGAAATTTCTGCACTTCTTTATAATTTAAGACTACAAAAGGACTCTATCCCTATGCTGTATTTTTTAAAATAACAACTAACTATGCTGAGAACAAAACCTGAAGACAGTCCATAAAGTTCTGAGATATTAGCAATGCCAGTTCAGAATGCTCGCTGTGATGATAAAAAAAAAAAAAAAAAAAAGCTGTGAATAGACATGAAACAGAACAGAATTCAGTTCAGTCCTTCAATGCCCCCCACTGCCAGATTTCTAAAGGAATCCCTCTGAAATCTTGCATAGCTGGACAGCGTGCTAAAAGTCAGAATTTGCTCTTTTACCAGTCAAGTTAAAGAAACTCCTTGTTGTAAATCCACATTTTTTAATTGAAGCAAAATCTAAAACATGCTGCTTTATCCTAAAGACTTTCAGACAAATTCTATACAGACACATGAAATAAATGCACCTGGCCTTACTGGAATACAAAATGACAACAGAAAAGCAAAGGTAATCCTAACTGCCAGTAAAGGAAATTTAGTATGTCCAGTTTTATTTAGGAAAAGCTGCATGAAAATTGTGCACAGTGTGAACAAATAGGTAATTGCATATTTTCACTATCCTCTCAAATGCAGAGGCAGTTTTTAGTGGTCTAAAATAAACTAGTCTTCTTGAAGAAGATAAACCCCTCTGCTCTCCATTAACCTAAGTGCATTAACTGCTAGAATCAGTTTATTATTTTTAAAAAAAAAAATCTGAAATATTTGTTAAAATACAGGGCTAGTGGCAAATTTCCAAGTAAACATAGATACTTGTGGCTAAATCCCATGGCAGAGTGCACGTGTATATGCAAAGGAACATCTCGAACTTAAGAGAATCAGAAAATGAATTTAAGTCCAAATTTAGTTTCTCCATTTTTATGCAGATATAAAGAATGAACATATGAGTTGATTGAAGACTTAGTGGAAGTAGAGATTACCCCTTATTTACAAAGGCAATAGAGAGAGTAGGTGTACGCCAGAGGTGAGTGTACTTCACTTTTTACAGAGAATTAGTATTACAAGTATATCTGTAAAGATTTTTTTCTAACCATGTTTTACTAACTCATCTAATACACAGAAGTAAGCTACAACACACACAACAAATGAAATCAAGGATTTATTTAAGAAGAATACATAAATGTGTGTGTGAAATCTCCTATTTGTTTTCTCATTCTCTAAATCACCAGAAGTTCTAATTCTATAATCCTCATGACAGGCTTGCCATTGATGTTCAATTTAATACAGGCCTTTCAGCTTTAAGGATTACGCTGTTAAGAATAAATGAGTGTAGTGGAAAAACAGGCTTTTAAAAATATAAGGTATTTAGGCAATTAAGAATGCAATTTAATTCATAGCGATTTGGTGATTAAAGAATAAACAATGCTCAGTAATGGTATGCAGTTAAAAGGTTTTAAAGTGTTTAATGTGTAAACATAGAAGTTTTTCCAACTTGAAAAAAATCATAGATTTAGTGGCTACACATCTGCATGATAAAAAGAAATTGCATTTCAATTTGTCTGTAAACAAGAACTGTGGGATTTGCAGACTTTGATCTCTCTGACATCACCAAGTGGATAAAGCATTTTTTTTTCTAAATGGACAAAATTATTTTGCCTTCAGATTACAACAGAAACATGTTTTGTCACCAAGAGTAACATCATATTAACAAGAGTTAATATTAGCACCTGCTGAGTTATTTAAAACCTGTAGTAAACAGTCATTCAGATCTTAAACAACTGTGTCAAATTCACTACTTTGGCCCAATCAAGAAACACGTCTCAACTACATTCATCCATATTTTCAATAGGTAAGAGACACAACGGGTCACTTGTAGTTCTATTTGATCTTTAAAAATCAATATATATACTTTAAAAAAACAAGTCATAAGCCTACTAATAGAATGAAAAGATAAGGAAAATAGGTGGGTTTTGAGTGTAGTTTAGCAGATACTATTTAAATATAAAAATAGAAATGAAAGTTAGGAACTGATAACAACAGCATGGCTGTGTCTTTACATTCTCTGTATTCACAGAGTATACTTTTATCAAGGGTAAATTTTTTGTCTCTCTCTTTTTATTCTTGGGTACAATTTAACATTTTTTACTTTATAGAAAAGACAATTACATGTATTTTGAATTAAAAAGTTGTATTTTAAGAAGTGAAATTTGTTTTTCTTATAACCAGTTAAAGTGTCCCTTGTTTCAATTTACGAGCCCTGTCTCTCATTCTTTGCTGTACACTTTGCTAAAAAGCCTGGCTCCACCTTTACATTAACTTATTTGGTATTGGAAGGTTGCTACAGGTCCCCCCCAAAACCTTTGTTTCTCTGGGCTGGACAAGCCCAGTTCCATCAGCCTTTCCTCAGTGCTCCAGTCCCTGACCAGCTTGGTGGTCCTCCACAAAAAGATTTTTTTGTACAGAATATTGAACACCACGTTCCATACATAACCCAGCAAATTCTGAGTTAAGAGCAAAAAAGTCTCTACCCATGATCTCCTGACTATGCCCCTATCAGTAAAGCCCAGGATGCTGTCAGCCTTCGTTGCTGCCAGGGCACACTACTGACTCATCTTTTTCCACTAGGACGGACTCCAGGTTTTCTGCAGAGTTGCGTCCCACTCTTAAGACACCACCTTTGCAGCAGTTTCAGCCTCTCCCAAGTGCAGGACTTTGCATGCAGCACATGTTAAATACAAAATCAACTTTACAATGGTATTCTTTTCCTTCGGCAAAAAGCTTAACTGTCCTTTTATAAGCAAGAGCTCTGGAAAAGGGGCAAGTTTAAGATTCTAGACTTACAAACCAAATACACCTAGGGCCTCTGCTACATTAAAAGGCTAATAAACAGAAAATCAAGATTAAGTATTAGTTTCTCATCAGAAGACTACTTAAAAAAAACCTCAGGCAGCTGACGTTTAGTCAATGTCTTCTCAAATGAAGAAATGTCTTATTTGGGTTAGCAAAGACAGAGCAAAACATGTAAAAAAAAAAAAATCAGTATTTTTTCCCTCTTCTTTTCATTCCTTGCACTTTTACTCATTACTTTCACAGTTAATAATTGAAGCTAAGATTTACAGTAAATAGTGATTAGAACTTTTTTTTTTTAAAATATGGTGGCTCTTAAATACATCTGAACAGACAATTCAATCAGAAACACATACTTCAACGAAATATTCTATGGGTTCTAAATTCCAAGTGATATTATGGGTTCATATGGGAACAAAAAAGGAAAAATGTCATCCATTTCATAGTCTTATTAAGTGTTCCAGCCTCATGACTGTAGGTACGTATGGACATAAGCCAGTACAAAAGAAAAGGTGGACTGTACAAAGGGTTACACCTTTAGAAGTAGCCAGAATTTCCTCGCTAGCGACCTAGCTATGTTAAACAAAAACCAAAACCAAATTAAATGGGTTAAAAAAAAAGGATTTTGCTTCCCACCTAATATGTGCTGAAACACAAGTTTGTGAATCCTAAAAATCCCTGCCTTTCAAACGTTTTTGCATTATGCCCTCTGTGTTTTCATCCTTTCAATTCTCAAAGCGTTACCATATTAGAGAAGTCATAATATTTCCCTGAGACTTGGTAAATCAACAACACTCACCAACAGTAACAGAATTCACCATCTGGAATACAAATAATTGCTTTACTTCTACATCTTTAGTAGTGTTAACACACTGGAACATAAAAACTTTTACAGAGCAGTGTCTGTACATGTGGCATTTGCAAAACATTAACAACGCACGTCACTGACTTAAGGTTTTCCAGATGTATTTATTTTTAAAGAAGACACTAACACTGCAGTGTTAAATTTTTCAAATACAGGTTTTGATTCTATGGCCTTTCTTTATCTGAGACACAGAATTTAGGAATAACACATTTAGTTTAAAAAAAAAAAAAAATCAGTAGATGAGTGTAGGCTTCAGAAAGCAGCTTCCCGCTGACTGCTGAAGCATCAATTTGAGTGATCAATACTATCAGATTCATTGCTTGGGAAAGGATTAAAGACTAATATACACAGAACATAATACTTGCAGCACACCATTCAAATCAAGTAACATGCAGAGTACAATGTTTACATCTGTAGCTCAGAAATAACATCAATATAACAAAATTCTCCTTCACATGTAGTATCTTGGTAAAGCATTTAAAACATGAAAATCATACCATAACCAACTTCCAGAATTTTTTTTTTTTTTTTACAGGTACTTTTGGATTAAGCTTTCAGGTGTAAGAGTTAAAAGTGACAGCCAGCATATGGAAAAATGTATGTTTCAACTACCACTGGAGTGACATTAGATTATTATAGCTATAAAAAAAGCTTTCTATGGATTTTTATGAGATTATATAACTTTTATATCCTAGAAATCTTTCCCACCTTAACAGAAAAGGGGCTGGTAGACAATTAATATATGTAGACTAGTCAGTAATACTCAAACTACATAAACAGCTTCTCTTGTACTATTTGCACTAAGAAGTAACATAATATTACTTATCACATAAAATACACATTGATCCAGGTAGAATACTACAAAAGCTTTATTAAAACACAGGGATGCTTGGTGTTAGTCTTTACATTAATTCACCACAAAAAGAACAGAAGTTGTACCCTACATATGCCTAAAGCAAACCATTTCTGTCTAGCATAACTTTACAGAACTATTAGGGTTCTCCTGTCCTTGATAAGAGATAGTAACTGCTGCAATAGGGGTTCAGAATAGCAGTTGGATCATTTGTACACATTAATCAAACACCAACAACTGGTAAAAAGATTTACCTTCAGTGAACTACTAGAGCAGCCTCTCTGAACTCTCCTACTTTTTCTGCCATATTTAGATTTTCACAGAGCACTTAACACTCAGGCAATCATGAATGCTCTAGTGCATACATCAGAGTAGCCGCTACTGCTTGCCAGCCTTGATACAGCACATGAATTCTAATGTTGATCTCTCTTACTTGAACAAAATTAAGTTCAAAGGTTGTTGACAAATCATTTCTTTCTTCAATAACATCATATGCTGCAATATAACATCCAGAAAGATAATCTGGTTTTAAGGATTTGCAATTACTATACAGGCATTAGCTTTTTAACTATGACGAGACAGGTCTGAATTCATGCTTTCTTTTCTTTATCATATTTTAATAAAAGTTGTTACACAGTAACAGATTTCTGTGTATGAAATGACCAGCTCTGTTTTAAGAACATTTATTTTACAAAACCAAACATTTATCCCAAATCAATACCTGCCTTTTTTCTTTTCTTTTTTTCAGATCATATAACATAAATACTACATCTACTAAACAGACAATTAATTTTAAGATTGTTCAAGGACGATTAAAAAAAAAATCAATACGAAAATCAGGTTTTATTGAAAAATTAATTCATCACATTAGGATACCTCATCATTAAAACAACTCTGCTTTCTATGGGTATTCTGCACATAGAAATGTGTGCACATAGAAATGTGTTCTACCTTGCTGACAGCTGGCTCAAAAAAAAAAAAAATTAAAAGCTTTCTTATGGGCAGAAAGTCCACTGACGTTAAAGATAGTTTAAGTCACTGGTCTAAAAAAGAAAAAAAAACCCACAAACTAAAAACTTACAAGCATCAAGCCTTTAAAAATCATTGATCGAATATCCACTGGTTTGATTCCCCTTATCCTAATATGTTTTCTGGTTATTTTTTCTGAGACTTAAATCCTTGTCTTTGGCCAAAACATCAACCTACAGTAAAGAACAGCTAAAAAGTAGCGTATGAGTCAAGTCAGCTAAATTTATCATAAATTCTGAAGTCCTTCCAGAACAACAATATTCCGAGGATAATACTGTTATTTAACTTATATCTTACTTTGTCCCATCAAGAATCTTACAGTGAGAGTCAACAAAAAAAGTAAAAAAAATTAGAAAAAGATGACCAACACTTTAAAACACTAAGCCAGATGGTCTTGTTTGATTTTAAAACTCCTACTGAAGCAGTTCTTACTTTAGGCAAGTAATGTTTAAAACTGGTAAGAAATTCTTCTCCTCATTCTGAAGTTTCTTAAAAAAAAAAAAAAAAGGAGCAGGTTTTATGGCAAACAAAACAAAAAATTAGGACAAAGTTTCTTTGGCACATTATATCTGACTTCTAATCTAACAATGTACCTGAGGTTATGGAAGGGTGACTTCTCGATTGTAACATCCTATTCCTCATCATGATTCCATACATAAAAACAAACAATGCACAAAATATTTCACAAAATATTAAATTAAGTTAGTAATTTTTATGCTTTACAAGTATTCTATCAAAACGAAAAATAAAGGCTCTCAAATTCCTCTTGAAAATCTTTAAGACTGAAATACATTCCCTGGGAGAAGAAATAAAGACACTTGGAAATTATTCAAGAAAGACCTCTCATATGGTAACAGTGCCTTCTCAAATTGCCACCACACACACACACACAAAAAAAAAGGAAAAATCTTTCAATGTTCACACAGCCTTCAAAATTTAGTAGCATCCAGATACCCCACAGAGCAAAAAAACATAACCCACATGACACTGGCAAACAGACTGCTACCTTGTTCTTGCTGTTACGTGTCACGTACTTCTCTTACTGCCTTCTTCAGCCAAGAAATATAAATTAGAAATTTTAATTCACAGCAAGATTTCAGTAAACAGGACAACACACTCAACCTACCATGCTTACACATACAGAAGTTTTCATTTTCACAGTGAAGGACAACTATTGACCAACAATCCTAAATTTTGAGACTGCTTGAATAATGTAATAAAGCTGGTTAAGTAGCTGTAGATAGATATTAAACCTGATGCTTACAAAAGACATTGCCACCTGATATAGTTTAATATTTTGTACTATTCACAACAGTTAACAAAGGCCTGTCAGACTGTAGTCTTAGTTAGTAACACAAAGCTAATAAAGCCATCTTACTATTTTGGGTGGAAAACAGGAAGGCAGAATTCGAAGGCTATTAAACAAAGAAACCAAATGCAATTATCAGTTGAAAATAATCAATGCATAAAAAGAGTCACTACCCAAATATAAATTTGGATTCTTAACAGTAATTTAAAAAAGAAAAAAAAAAAATCCCTTGTGAATACTAACTGTGTAAGCACCTCTTATTTATAAAATTAAACATCAATGGAGTAGAAGGTTCCTTCTCTAAATATGATACTAAAGCGTAAGTACAGGTACAAAACCATTTGAATAAAAATAACTCTTGCAAAACCACATTAATATACTAATCTAATTCAAATTAGAATGGCAAATACATAAAGCAATGAAAACTGGAGCTTTAAATAGCAGAAAATATCTTCTAATTTGAGTAATAAACAATAAATTTAAATTGCAGACAATGCACATGTCACTCTGTCTGGAGAAACTTATCTACATTTCCATTAAATTATGTGACTTGTTCTGAGTTTGGAACTTATGAGTGATAATTCATAAGGTTTAATTTATATGTAGAGCTATTAATGATAGAGTTTCATGTCTAGATTTTGGCGAGACCTTCCTTTTTGCTCGAACAACCATCACCGTCTTTGTGATTATTTTATTTTTAGACATCACCTTATAACAAAATATACCCAGTACGTAAATGCAACAGCACAGTCAACATTTTATTAGGGAGAATGTTTAAGCATTTTCTCTAATCTCACGGGGGGGTGGGGGAGTGGGAGAACACTTCCCTCAGAAATATCTGTCTTGAAAACAAAAAAAAGTAAAGTTAATAAATAGATTTTGTTTCTGAAGGCAAGGCTGAATTAAATAGATTTTTTGTCTCAGTTATTTTAAATGGAATTTAGCTGTAAGCACAGATAGCTATGCTTCAGCAATTATTCAGTTCAGCAGAGAACAATTTGCAGGATTAGTCAATCCACATTAGCTGTGTCAACATCTGTGGGATTTGCATTGACAGCAATTCATAAATCTATCACCTGGAGTGCAAGAATACCTTCTCAAATCTATGCTATGCTAGAGTACCATTCATGCACAGTCATCATTTCCCCTCCCCCTCATTAACAAGTAGTTTTCTACTTTAAAACACTAATTTCCCCTTAGATTCCACTACTACTGAAAACAAATGCAGCACTAGATTTATGGAAAAAATCCTTCAACTTGGCCTCTCTTTAAAAAAGTTATTAAAGAATGAAAGTATTTCTCGGGGGATGGTTTTTATTTTACCAGAAGTTAGCAACATCTTTGTATTAAACTACAGCAAGCAGAGTCTTTCGCTACTGAAATATGTCAGAGCAGACTCGCTGTGTATTTGAAATATTATTCTCCACCCAAGGGTAAATATCCTTGAGGTACACAGCAGATTCCCTCAAGGTGCCCAAAAAAGGGACTTGAAACCTGTACCCTCTGATTAGACCAAACAAAAAATAACTGAAAAATTCATCTGCAAGATTTATGTTAACTTTTTTTTTTTAAAATCTGTTTACAAATGTTGCATCCCTTTATTTTAAAGGTACTTTCAAAGGTACTTTACAAACTGAGATGGTCAAGTTCAGATCAATGCATTACACATGTTTTACCATATAAATAAACAAGCACTGCACATTAAATTCTGACTGCTATAGATTCTGAAGTTCTTGTTGCATCCCATATTTTGCCACCACAATTGAAGTTGAACCTAGGATAACAATGTCCATCTTTAATCCCAAATACTTGTTTCGGTGACACTGCTTGAGGGATAGCTGGGTAGAAGATGGAAGGAAAGACGAGTAGCTAGAGCTATTTAACATTATTCAGAGCTCTACGTATATTCTATTGACAAGATGATAGTTGAACAAATTCAAGTCAAAAAAGCTGAATAAAAAAAGCTGAATAAGCTGTTCTACTTGTATACTCCAGAAAGACTCAGAACAGACTTAAAATTAAACAACTGCCTTAAATCGCCATTGCACTGAGAGAGACAGCTATAGCAAGGGACCATCCTAGAAATGTTTACTCTGTGTTTCTCTGTTATTAAAAACGGAGGAGCAGTCAGTAAACTACATTGAATGTTTTCCTCTATTTAGGGTACTTTCTCATGTCTCATGCATTTCATGAATCTGCACCTACAAGTTTTATAGCTTCATCTTACCTTGCAAAGAAAACTGATGTTAAAACCAAGAGACTGTGCGTTTCTGGAGCCAGAGTTCATGTAGTTTCCAAGGAACAGCACTAACTCTAGAAGCTTACTAAAGCTTTCACTCTTCTTCAGCTCTTCACAAGCTAGTGTAACTGCCATAATGTCAGGTTTGATATTGTTTACGTGCTCTTCAAACATAAGTCTGAAAAGGATCCCATTGAGACGTGACCGCAACATTTTCACTGAACTCATCTACAAAATAAGAAAGATTAAATCAGAACATAAAAACCAAAAAGCTTATTTATGCAAAATAGCTTACATTAAAAAACAATATTGTGCAGCCAGCAAGACTACAGTTTCTGTATGTTTTCATTGCCTATCTTGTATTTCCAGGAATCCATACCTGCCCACAGGTATTTTTCCCCAAACCATACATTTTGCCTGGAAAAATTCAGTGAAGCAACATATTGAAAACAAGAGTGTGCTTTGTGTTACCAGACCATTTAACCTGTGAATTCCAAACCCACTGGCAATGAATGCACACTGCCAAAACCCTTCCTCCCAGCAAAGGAAATGTAAGCCAATTCCTTAACAAGAGCTGAAAATCAGCCTGAAGGTACACGTGGCAAACATTTCATCACACCTCCAGTGAAGTTACCCTTCAACTCTGATATTTAGCACTTTCCTAAAATTAAGCTTCTCAGTTTTTCTTCCTTCAGAAATGGTACAACAATCTCTCAAGTGTGTGCTGATACCAGCACAAATGCAAACAGCTACGCTTCAGTCTGATTATGCTAAAGAATAATACTTTCAATTTTTAGACTCTTTTACTGAGCTGACACATAGCTCTCAACTTGCTCTTGGTCCCTGGGAGAGCAATAGGGGAGAGAGACGATGAATTCTTAGGGACCCTTGTTGAAGGACATGGGAATATCTAAGTGAGTTTGAGACACAAGAGATCAAGCTTCACTAGTCAGATACTTACATAAAGCCAGGTCACATTAGTACTGTTGTTCATGAAATATTTTCTGCCATTGTACTGATGGGAGCTGTTAATTGTGATATTTACAGATGACATCAGTGCTACATCTAACAAGGTGTTTATTTTTGCAGTTTTTAATTAAAATGAAACCCAAACCGAGTTTTGTTCAGGTATTATCTACACTTATAGTAAGTTATAAAATAAATAATATGAATCCTACCAGTATTGACAGTTAACCAAACAAGCTCAAAGGTATTTTAAAGATACACCATGATATGTATTTGATCCTAAGACTTCTCAAGTTCACACCATCAAAAAGTCCCAATCTGTGTATCCCAAAGAATAATCAGATTCAGGAGGTGGATAAAGAGGTTTTGGCTGAAATTCATGACAGTAAGTTTTATATAAAAACCAATATACCTAGAGATACTAAAGTAAGGATATACTTCTGGTATACTCTTTCAGTTCTGATCCCATGACATCGTATTTTGTAGGCAACATACTGCTTGCTTTTTAATCTCCTGTCTTTTTGTCCTTTTGAACAAATTTTGTAAAACTACTGCCCAAGATATTATCACCTTTATGTTTCAGACACTTTGCAAAAGGTAGTATAGGACTCATTCCTTCCTGACCTGATAAAAAGATGGGAGGTTATAAATCACTGCATTTGTAACATGGTAAGTGACAGAGATACTGAGAAGTATCTACAATAGTGATTCATTAGTTTAAGTCCCCAAGATCAATTTCACTAGACTAGCTACCAAAGTATGTCCATGTCTTTCATATTTTGCACAAGCGATGAGTAATATTTCCTCCTTCTTAGCAGCGGACTATAATTCACACGAGATATTTAAATTTAAGAGAAAAATATGTACTGAAAATTTTTAATCCACTTAAAAATTTTCATTTAAATGCAAGGATGATTACCTTCCAAATCTAACTCCTAATTTTAATTAGCAGAATACAGAAAGATTTCTCCCCCAATGTATTCACTATCAGTGATGTTCCTGAAGCACTTTGTCCCCCTGAAAGAAAAGCTTTGTTATGTGACAAATCACAGATCTTGGCTATCAAAACGTAAAGATTTTTATGTGCTCATGTCCCTGTTGCCCAAAGCTTTACCACGGCTCCTTGAGGAACCATGATTTTTCTACTGGTGTTATCCACCACAGACAGCTACCAGAAGCAGCAGCAATAACTTGACTTGGGTGGCCTGAATAATGATGAATTCATACTAAAAAGAAAATAAATATGAAGGCACTCCAGATGGTCTCAAACAATTCATATGATCAGACTGGAAAGAGGAAAAGGAAAGGATCAGAAAAGAAGCGCTTCAGCATAACTTGCAATCTTTTTTTTATACATCTTCGTTGTCACAAATTTCTCTGTGAGCCTCTATAAGCCAACATCATGCAAAGTCTTGAAATATTATTATTATTATTATAATCATTCTGTATTTCAGAAATATCATACTGAAAACATCTGCCTTGAAAAGATCTACCTTCACTGAGCTGCAGTAGATGGAAATTAAAATTAATCACATAATTTGCTTTAACTTTTGTAGAACAATCTCCAATTACGGATTTTACTCAAAATTGCACAGAAAAAGTTGTCAAAAGCCTTAGATCCTGAAAACAGAGTGCAACAAAAAAATGTACAAGCCAACAGAACAGTGTGACTTAAACACTTGTGAAGAACAATCCTTTACAACACTTGAGCCAATTTGTACTTTCTTTTTTTAAATGCTGTGAAGTGTTATGAAATACTGACCATTTATTTGTTTTGCAAGGCAGTTTGACTACCAAACCAATAGTAAGTTTAATTTCATTTGCTGATTTGCATAATATTTAAAAAGTATCTTGACAATTTCATAAGAGCTGTTTCCTTAGAATTCAAAATATTTTTATACACATTATGCTCTTTAAGTATCAATAGAAGATGATCACAAATGCTACTTTATTTCTTCCTTCCCCACCCTGCCCTGGTTTCTCTTTCATACGCATGTTTCTAAATACACATGTTCAATGGCTGGTAAGCATACTGAACTTAGAGGAATTTTCTGAAAACAGATAAGGTGCAAAGATCATATTCACTAACAAAAAGGTCAAATTGTTTATAGTTCTACAAAATTAGTGTCAAAGGCACATAAGAAATAATACATTCAAATAGGTGCATGCAACAGCAAGCATTAGCTTTCACCACAAACAGTTAAAGAAGCAAGAAAATGGGTATTTCTTTTCCAGCTAACTGTGAGCACTGGACTGCATGTCATTATTTCCCCTTCTGGGCTTTCAGAAAGGTCCTTGTCTGAATTCTCTACCTAATCAAATTTTTTATTCAGTTCTTTATTATCATCATTCAATTCTCAAGCCCTGTATTAACACTAGGATCAAAGGTTATTGGAGAAAGAGGCAAAAAGCACAATTAAATTTGCCTCACTCCTAAGGAAAAAAGCTGACATTCCTATAAAACAAATTTGTCAACTTACTCAGACAACTTACTCAGCCTATTACCTATAATATATTAAACAGTTGCCTTTTTTTTTTCTAGCAACGTTCTAAGAAGATTAATTCTTCAGCAGCTCTAGAAATTACAAAAAGGCAAAACAAGTGGCAAATAAGTTCAATTAAAATGACTGAATGACTCTAAACCAACGCAGGTGCAATAAACTTTCACAATTCTTCCCACTTCATCTAAGTCCCAGCAAGTACTGTTCAAGATAGCTAATCCTGGTTATACAGCAAAAAGGGTCACAGAATCTGCAAGTCTCTACAACTAAAACTACTCAGTGAAACTTATCCTTTTGCATTAACAGTGAAATTACTGATAACCCAATTCTTAGCAGCTGAAGGAAGTTTTGCATTCACTAGAAACCAGCAAAAAATCCCTCCCACTTTTCCAGAATACACACCAGAAAGGGAATTCTTTGGTCAGTTCCAGTCACTTGTTTTGTTGGTTCACTAAAGAGTTATTAACTAAAATTTGCACCACATAATTGTGGGATGATCTTTTTAAAAGTAGTAATATTCTTGTTAACTCAACTTCAGAACTCACAGTTGGTGGTGAAGTAAGTAAAATCTTCTGAGTTTAAATACCACTAACACTGCAAAAGATTTTTTTTTTTTTAGCCTGTCCTGAGTTGACAAGAAATGGTTGGTACTCACACTTTATAGCACAGATGAGACTTACGCTTTTATAATATTTAAACTGTTCAACTGACGGAAATTGAAAGCAAGTATCCTTACTGAAGTTGCAGCTGTTCCCATGACATAAAAAAATTAACTCTTAAACACAAGTTTTACAGTTAAAAAATCAGAGAACAATCTGCCTTGCTTTTTAATGTTATACAACTGATTCAGTTCATCTATTTTTCTTGCTCTACTTCAACATCAATGCAAACTTTTCTTTATATGAAGTTGTGTTGCCTTTTTTGATCCCAGGATACATAACTTCAAAAACAGTTCCAATAACTAATTTGAATATGTAATTCATTTTAACATTTCACCTAAATGAAAATTCAATTCTAATTTTCATTTACATATCAGCTGAATATTAAGTTAATTGGTCTCTTCTAATAAGTTAATCATTTACTAAGTATGGTTTTTCTACATAAATTTTAAACAACTTATTCCAACCTTTATTAAATTTGATGGGCATAGTGATTATCCAATTAACATCTCTTACTAATTAACATACCTAAATTACATACAAATAAGAGTACATATTTTAAAGACTACTTAACACAGTCTTTTTGTCATCTTCTATTCCTAAACAAATATTTCTTAGCATCAAGGTTAAGATTATTATTAATGCAAAACTCTGAAATTAATTTGACACATAGCAAAAAAGGACTCCAGTCAAGTAAAGAGCTTAAGTTCAGCTGCATTTCTTCCACTTTAGTGGATTGTTCAATTAAAACAAAATTGGAAACAAACCCAGCATTTTAGTACTATTAATGTAGATAGAGGCCTCTAAACATAAGACAGAATCACAACCCATAAGGAAATGTAATATTTTTTTTATTAAACCAGATGGTAAAGTTGAATAAACAAACAAGCTTCAGGAAACTTAGTCCCTTCATAAGGCAAACATCACCATTTGGAGATGTTTGATTACGCAGTTTTTTCTAATTAATGTTCCATTAAATACTTATACATTCTTTCTCAACTTTTTGTAATTGGTCATTCCTCAAAAGAACGAATCAATGAAAAAGTGATCATGACTATATTAGTAGTGTCAGAAAAAAAGGATATTTTTAGGACTTTTTCAACATAATCGAGTGAAAAAACAAGGAAATACTCATTTGGTAAATCAGCCACTCCCTAGCATCCTTTGCTCACTGCCATTTCAAAAATAGGCAGAAAGCAGAGAGTAGACAGGGCAATTGTTCTGGCCTGCCTTCCTTCCTTCCCAGGGACCAAAGCCCATCTTGTTGTAGGGCTGGAAGTACTACTGTCATTTCATCACATTGTTTTAGTCACTCTGAAAGTGTGTGTTACATGACAAAGAGGGAACAAAGTATTCCTCCAGTGCTTTTAAACAGATTTTTTAATATACATACACATATATATGTATGTATATAAAATATAATATAGAATATATGCCTGTAATATATATCTGTATATATCCATATATATGCATTTAATATATATCCATCTATATCGTATATATGGATAAGTTTTAATACATATCTAATACATATCTAAAAGATATTATAATTATTAATGTATTCTACTGCAATTATATTTTTATATATATTGCATGCCATAATTCCTTCAAGAAAAGCACGGAATACGTACTTACAGAGATTTTTAGATTGTTACTCATCAATAAAGAGATGGTAATGTTTTACCACTGCAGACCTTGCAATAAGACTAACCAACGTATCACACTTTTACCAAAATTCCTCATCTTTGTTTTGAAATAAAACATTTTTGGAACTTTATGCCATTTATTAAAAAAATAAAATCAATAGCCTAAAGTTTTTCTGAAAGAAGTCATTGATAGCTTTCATTTTCTAAATCCTCTACAAAAATCTCATCAAATAATGCTCCGTTCCACCACCACACCCCTTCCTCCCTGCCCCCCCCACCCCCAATCATTCAAAAGGCACTTCTGAAGCCAAATTATGCTCAAATGAGAGCTTTTTAGTAAAAAGCCGGTTTCACTCTTCCCTTTTAATAGATCTCTATTTCTGTTTTAATACATTTTAATGTTCATAAACCATAAAAATCCAGCAAGAGCAAACCTAGCTCCTGTGGCGTTAGGGATAAATTCTAAACACATTACAGAGGCTATCATCATTATTATAATCTTTTAGACTGACAAAGTAAAGTGAAAACATGAACTAATTTGCCTAAGGACTTACCAGGTCTTTGGAAGACCAGAAGCAGAAAAAGTCTTCCAAGTCCTAGCTTAGTACTAGGTACATACAATCAACTACTAGCATGTATTAGGGTAATTTATGCAAATTTTATAATTTCATTCGGAGACAGGTTCTAGCCATTATAATACGCAATATCGCTACTTTTGGAATAGATATATATATTAAACACTAGTAAAAGCAACAGAATACAATCTACAGTTTCAGTTCTAATATAAATCTACACCTCTTCAAAAGTAGTTTTGCAAGTTTCTATGTGTTTGTATGTATACATATACATTTTATATACATATATACATATACATTTTATATGTATATGCATGCATACATATATGTGTATATACACATGTACACATAAAATATATATATACACACACACTTTTTTTTTTAACCAAAGGGTAAAACATGACACGAGATATTATGGGCATATTAACTCTTACAGCTGATTACAGTTTTTGATATAGCAGAATAAATTTATCGAAGTTGTCAATGCCATTGAGTTAATGGGTCTTTTATGAACTCTTGGAAATTTAACTACTTGAAAGTAGAGAGTTCTCCATAACTGTTTAATAAACATGCCAGACTTGCATACAAGGCAAGACAGTCAGACAAAAGATTTGGCCTGGCACAGAAGTGCTTGTTGCTCTTAATTGCATACCATAATTCCTTCCAGAAAAACACCTAATGTGTATTTACAGAGATCTTTAGATTATTACTCATCAATAAATAGATGGTAACTTTTCCTACTGCAGGACTTGCAAAAACACTAACCAAAATAATTTAAACCTAAAATTTTTGGGTTTAATCTGTTTGACAAAATAGAACTTTCCAGTCAATTATTGCACTAATACATACCACAACTCCAAATTGTTCTGGCTCAGCAAGATCATTATATTCATCCTTTAATTCAGCTAAGGCATTGAGTTCTTTCTGCTCAGGAAGATTCTTCACTAGGTTCTAAAACAAACAAGGCATTGTATTAAATTTGTTATATTAAACTAGCTGAGATCTTAAAATAATACACTTAAAATACCACAACATGGAAACGCATGAGGAACTTATGGGAAGCTTATTTTATTTACACAGCTTTAACAGTATATAAACATCAAATCAAACCAGTAATTATGTAATACAGACATCAGCACCTCTGTTACAGTCTCTAATTTGAAGAATGCCTTCTCAGTATTAAAAAGTTAGACAAAACTCCTTGATGCTGCCAGACCCTGAAGAATTAGACTCTATCTACAATCTTTTTTTTGCCCTCATGAATGCATCTTGCTCATTAAATATTAATCAAGAAATACCTGGTCTGTGTAAAGCAAGACATAACTACCTAAAAAAAACCAAAAATCTTTAGACATTCAAAATAGTTGTGCACAAACTTCACTTAAAACACTTTACACAAAAAGAGAGCAACATCTCAAAATTGTACAGATCATCTGGATGGCAAATATACAGGAACTCAGCAAAAAGTAGAACTTGCTTGAAATCTTATCCATGTCCCCAAAGAAAATTGTATGATTTATTATATGATCTTAACATCTCAAAATACAGATATGCTAAATGTATAAAATATGTATATTGAGGCTGAAGAATACTTTGTTTTTAAGAGATACTCAGTAAAAGTTTAGGTTGTATTTAAATTTTGACACATATGTTAATTGAAAATAAAACAATAATATAATTCTTCAAGGGAAAAAGAGTATACATTTACATTCAAGCAAGCTGGCAAGAGTCAATAGGCCTTTTTTGTTCAAAAAGGTTCATAAATCTTAAGACCAAAAAACCAGAGTGAATTAAAATATTATTAACTGATATGATTACATTCTGGCTGTCCATACACAGAAGGTGCCCTTTACTTCATTTCCAATCTCCACTAACCACTTTTGTTCATATTAAAGACTTATGACAGGAAAAATCAAGAAACAAAAATGATGTAGTATTTTGAATACTGGACTGTAGTATCTTGGGAGGCAAGTGTGATTCTGTGGAATTTCAAAGGGCGTTGAGTTATAAGCAAGCACTAGCCACTAAAGAAATCAAAGGGACTGAGTTGGAGAAACTTACCTGTAGAAGAGGGGCAGAAATACCTCCAGGTTTAGGCGAACACAGCATCCCTCCTGCTTTCCCACTGTGGCTCTTAGGGGGATTTTTTTGGGGGGTAATTGCCTAATCACATAGTAAAAGCAGGCAACCTGTTTCTGTATGCTGGATTATAGACATTAATATGCATATAGGGGCCAAAGTAGTAGTGCACTTCTGTTATTAATAACTTTTGAAAAATCAACATGAGATTCACCCAACTCCACAGTGCAATGACTCCTGTACCAAATAACTAAGAAAAAAAAAAAAAGCCTTCACACAGGAATAATTTTTTCTTCAGTGGATCCTGAGGTATTAAAGAGAAAAGGGGTAAGTCCATGTTCTTCAACAAGAAGTTCCTACTTTATGAAGCCACCCTCTGAAACTTGCATAAGTAAACGGTAGAACCACCATCAGGTTTAGAGGTTTACTTCCAATAAATATGTGTGTATCTGTGTGTGTGTATATATATATCTCTATGAAATATGCAATTCTATAGCATTTTAATTACAACACAGATTTTCGTGAAGATAAGGTAATGTGCTACAGCTACAAAAATTAACTCTTTTGATACTTTCTGCAACGCTAGTCATAGAAGTAAAACATTTCAGAACATGCTCCTTTAACTTGAAGCTGTTCTGGTTAGGTTATTAGCACATCAGTTCTCCCACCAGAAAAGGTGCATTACGTGTTCCCATAAGATGTGAATAAAATAGAAGGGACATGCACACTGACACTATCAGAGAACTGATAATGATTGTTTAGGCCTATGTCACAAAAAGACTGATATGAAAAAAAGTTATGTACTTTTTAAAATCAGAAAAGCAACCAGCATATTTTTTCCAGATATAAAAATCTTAATTGGAGAAAACCTGTACTATTAGAGGTACACGTCTTATTTTTAGAACATACCAATCTTGCCATCACTCTTGCAATATTCTTATCGTTAGGAGAATTTGATTACTGATCACTCTGCCAGGCTTGATGAAGTAGGAATTAAGGTATAACTTTCAGAAAGGCAGTCTAATTTGTCAGATTTGCAAGTGATAGCTAACTTAATTCTCCAAGCTGAAAGAATCAAACATTTACCCATCTTAATAAAGAAAAATAAAGATGACAAGTAGTCTCATACAAAGTGTCCCTGTTACAGAAAGATTTTTTACACTTACACCGAGGAGCTACTGAGTGTCTCAGCGAGCAGAGTTCAATATACTTGACAAAGATAAGCATCAGTTTCACCTGGATGTCATACAATTGAGCTATGGCCTCGTGTTTAAACCTAAACATGCTTCCTTTCCCATTAACCCAAAACCATATCCCACAAATTTCTACTTAAAAAAAAATTACAGATCTGTAAAACATTTTTGCTCATTTGGTTGACTGTTTAATGCTGGTAAAGATCAAAGACTGACTAAATAATGCAATTTTTTTAAACCTATTTTCATTAGGTAGACTATTTACCAAATGCTGTCATCAATAATTTCACAGTATTTGTCACAAATGTGTATTTCATTACACATTAATAAACTTATTGTAAAACATTATTTTTTCCATCAATGCAGAAATACAAGTACCTACTACTAAAACTGCCTTTTTTTCTTTAGCCACCAAAATCTGTTAGCACACTTGATCATTTCTTTTTCCTCATCCACACCCCTTTATGGTCTAAAGCTAACAGATCAACTCATTTTACCCTCAGCTTCTAAGAAAGAGAGTTTGGCTCTACTAGCACTGCAGCCCCCCATATATATATGTTTAAATATGTTTACTTTCAGTAATTGTATTGAATAACTGAAAATGAAGCTAAAGCATTCAGTGATCACATACTCAAATCCCTGTCAGTACTTTAGGAAACAGAGTTTCATAATGTATTCATGATGATGTGGGTTTAAATAAAAATACGGTAAATAAAAATGGTTTACATAAACATAAGAAGTAGTAGAAATCTAAGGCTGACTTTAAGAGGCTGAAACTCTCACTCACTACTCACTGTCACAATGCCCTGAATTCTGCTAAACAAGACGTTTGACAACTGTATGTTTACAAGAACTTATCTCAAAGACACACTGGCAACTGAGAATATTTTTGCTAGAGTGTTTTCCTCACGGAAGAGTTACAACAGTATATAGTCTACCATTACTCAAACTGATTAATCCAATTAATTTTAGTAAGTATTACAACGTAAGTTTGAAAAGCAGCAAGAAATGAGAACTTGAGCAGCATAACAGAAAAAGCACTTGCTCAGTTATGCTATATCCATTCGGCTTTCATCACTTTGATATTTAGAACAAAGCAGTTTCCACATATGCATTTTTATAAAGTACAAGTTTTGCTAAGCATGAAAGAAAGCAAGCTTTGCTTTGTAAAATTCTTCCAATCAGTAGTATTGAAAACTCTTAAACTGGTAAATTAGTTAATAACTCTGTCAGAAGATTAAATAAAAATAAACTAGAATAGACTGAAATGAAATAGATAATACAGCCCATTTACCCCAAGACATTTCTAAGAATACCTTTAGAAACACAGAAGGAATCTCTTCTGGGTTATCAGCTAAATCTCTCTGCTATTAGAAGCAGCTCTGCCACACCATCCCCTTCAGAAATGGACCAACCTCCAAAACCTCAGTTTTTTCAAAGAGTATAGGCAGCTGAGTTTCTAGATAGTTGCATTCATAATGAATTCATATACGTTTATTCTGGTGCTAACATTGCCTTTTACTTATGCAACTTCATTTTTCTCCTCAATGCTTATGCACATCACTCTGCTCCCCATATAGTCATTATGCAGTCATATCCCCTCTCAGCTATTTATATTGCTAATCTAATCAAGGCAATCTTTTCTAGCTTCCTTCTGTAGACTGTTTCTCCATCCCTCAATCATCTTAAGCAGCTTTTAAGTTCAGCTTCTCCATTTTAAATTCATTTTTGAGAAAGGTACCGAATATTTTAGGTAAGGTCTTAGAAGTGTATTATTCAAAAGCATAATAATTATCCTCTCTATGGGAAATACTTGACCTGATACACCTTGCAATCACATTTGCCTTTTTTATGGTGTACTGAGTCTGGCTGGGATGAAGTTAATTTTCTTCATAGCAGCCCACATGGTGCTATTTTGACTTGTGACCAAAACGGTGTTGATGACATACCAATGTTTTAGTTACTATTGAACAGTGCTTGTGCAGTTTGAAGGCCTTCTCTGTTTCTCATTCTGCAAGGAGGGCAGGGGTGGGCAATCTGCGCCCCCCCTCCCTGACAAGTAGCCAGGGCAAGTGGTCGGGACTGGGTGAGGGCTTAGCTACTCCACATAGAGCTGCACCACAGTGTAGCTATACCTGTCCTGTTGAGCACAGACTCGCTGTTACGTCTCCTCAATCATTTCCAACGGATAAGCAACCACTACAACATTAGCTTCCAGCACTTTACAATCAACATGTAAGACCATGACCTTATATTCAGCGTATTACATTCTATTTCTATTAATCCAGGTCTCAAGATATCTCTACATTTGTTGTAGAGATAACTATACCAATATGAAGCTATTTTGCATTTGAGGTATTCAAGGTGGATTTTTTTCTGCCTGTTGATTTTTTTATTTTACTAATCCTGTAGGCTTCTCAATGAAATGATCTGATAACCCTGATCAATAAACATAAACTTAAGACTTCATATTTCCAAATACTACGTATCATGTACATAAGCTTTTTCTAAGGCAACATACTTAGTAGCCAAAGGTAGTATTTTTAGCACTGTAAATATATATTAGAAATGCTTTGTATTTAATTTTAGGGCCCATACTCAAAACCAATCAATTTCATGCTGACACGGCTTGAAGCAAGATGCCATAGTGAAACACATCAAATAAACTCAGACTGGAAATAGTTTCCAATCAAATGGGAACTTCCAAAAAACATTATGCCATAGCAACGCTCCCACCCCTCCCCAAAAAATCCAGGATTATCCCAAATGAAATATGAATGAGAATTTTGGATACAAATCTATATTTTCAAAACATTAGGTTAGGTGGTATAAGTCTCAGAATATGACACTATGAAAAAATAAAACTGTATGTACTGCTGTGAGTCCAATAGTTTGAGGTCTATGAGAAAACAGCACCCCTTCCTTTAGAGCCTCAAGAAAACAAAACTCCAGAAATGTAAGAAGGCCTTGATGACACAAGAAAAACTGCAGACAAAGGACAATTAAATTTAATTTAATAATTTAATTCCATTTTCACTATATGTTTTGCAACATAGTAATTTTGTTAAAAAACATTCATGCTAAAATTTGAAGAAGTTATGAAATACAAAACTAATTGTGAAAAGACCAGGCAACTCAATTTAGCCCAGTGTCCCTGGAATAACCATTTTCCAGGTCCAAGAAAGGAAGAAATTAATTTAGAAAGCCTTGGGGGGACAGGGGTGCAAGCAGGAGACAAGGAAGGACAAAAGGATAAGTAGAGGCTGAGTATGTTAGCTAGAATCAATTTGTGTATGATATTAAAATAATCCAATTCAACACCAGTATCATCGGTGTGCTACATTTGTATACCATTTTAAGTTTACATGTTTTTCTTTTGCACTCTGTCACACCCCAGAGATCATGAGGGGCAGTGTACACACTTGCTCTCCTCCTACTGTGAGGAAATCAGAGAGGGATGCAAAGAAAATGTATTCCATACTTCTCTCCAGCTGAGAGATTTTGGGCTCAAAATAAGACCAAACCAGCTTGAGAGCAGGTTTAATTTACAGATGGTTTTTGGGTTGTAGCAGTATCCCGAAACATTCAGGTAGTTTCATCTATCCCTAGTGACAAGCAGAGCTGTTTCCACAAGAAGACTGATGGAACTTCATTATCCACTAGCCTAAATCTGGTAAATGCTTGCCTTCAAAACTGAAAAACTAGAATTATCAGAAATTTCCTTTTGAAAGAGAAACTCCATAAAGTTAGAGATTCAAAAGTACTTTTGTTAACAGTGTCTGTTAAAGACAGTTTTACTGCTATAATCGACCATATTCAAAAGTAGAAGTGAAATAAACAAAACTGTAAACACAGCTGATACATTTGTAGCTGACATCCAGAAAACTCTACACTATTCTTACTTTTGAATTCTTATACCTTTACAGCATTTTTATGTGGGAAAACAATCTATGAACAAAACCAGAGACATTTTCACATACCTGAATCAAGGATTCACTCAGCTTCTCTTCATCAACCTCTAAAATTATATTTTTTATTTCTTCATAAGGCAAACGGAAAGAACCCAAAAATATTGCTGAAATTCAGTAATAAATAATTAGAATCAAAAAGGTAAAAAAGATGGATTATAAGGCAAACAATTTCTAGCAACTCAAAAATTATATCTTGATCCAAATTAAGATGATTCACAATGAAAAAGGTTTCTATATAAAACAAACAGTAGATGAGCCACACTATTGCAGTTCAACTTAGAAATTTTACTTCTAAGAAATGAAACTATGACAACAGTTTTAACTGTTTAATCAGCCTCAGTTGTTCCCTAGCAGTGTTACTTATCTCTAGCAATAAAGTCCTATTTTTATGAATGGCAACATATCTGCATTACTACTTAAACAGACTTATTCAACCACTAGAAGACTTCAGCTATTGTTTTTTGCTTTCATAATCATGTATGAATAGCGGTACTCCATTTACAATTGGTTGACTGATATTTACATGACATTCTAGAAAAAATTCCATATCAAAAGGATAATGAAGAGCTGGGCAAAGACAAAAAAACAATACCCTACCTCTACCACTTTTTAGGGTAACTAAATTTATACAAGAGACAACGTATATTGTATACCCTTCAAAGATAAGCGTTCTCAAAGCAGTTCGATCTCAGGATCTTGTAACGTCTTAACAAAGCCCCATTCAATAAACTACAAAGTATTCTAACACAGATGGATTAGCATACCATTTTAATAAACTGCTGTATATTCAACCTAACTACTATGGCTTATTTTCTTGCATCCACATTTTCAAAACTTGAAGTTTTACATCACTGGTGTCATAGTGCATTTTCTGCTTAAAAAAACGTGCTCATGGATGTGGTAATAAACAATGCACAGATTTGGTTTTTACACACTTCATTTGCCACGGGCATAGATGAAGAAGTGACATTTTATGGTATTTCTAATTCAAATAAAAGAATCTACTACTCTCAATGATTTGATTTCCCTCCATGATTGAAGAGAGAAGCATGTTAAAAATAATAGGTGGGGCTGTTTTCCTTACAATTTATAGTAGTAGTATTTGCACCTAAGTTAACCTATTTGTAGTATTTTTCTCTTTAAAAGTCTAACCCCCATTCAAGCTCTCTCTCTCCATTGCTTTGACCAGAAAGTATGGTTAGAACTGGCCTCTCAACCTCAACCCACAAAAAACCTACCAACACTGTGCCTTCCCTCATACTTCCAGTCTAAAGCAACTAATGAAAGAATCAACTTTTTGTTACAAAAAAATATAGTTCATTAACAGTTAAATCTACATCATTTTTCCATGTTACTTTTTAAAGTTTTCCTAAATTGTATACTGAATTCAAATCATATATATGTAAAACACTTCTGAACTTAAGACTCGTGTTCACATTAGCCCGTTTTTAGAAAAAGAATACTGCACATGTAAACAAAAAAGAAATAAGACATTTAAGCACAGGCATGTGTACATGCTAATTAGATATTCACCTAATGCATTTGACATCACTTACATAAGTTTTGTGCGGTTTTTCCATCCAAAATTCTTAATTCTTTAATCCTTTTCTTTGACTGGGCTATTTTCTTTTCTTCTGATTCTTCTACTGCCTTTTTAGCTGTAAAGAATGTATTTATTAAATTCTGATTCATTATTACAACAGTTACATCTAACAGACTAATAGCAACTCAGCTAGAAAGCCATAATAATGCATCTATTAGAATCAGCTTAAGACAAAATGAATCCACTGCCTCAACATACTCTAAAATATCCAAAGAAACAAAGCAAATGTACAAAATTAGGAGAAACATGAAATGAAAATGTTAATATGACAATGACCAATTTTCCCAAGCACTATCAAATTATATTTATATATTTTAACCCACAAAATTTGTTAACTTCAGCTCCAGTTCATTCCAAGCACTTTTAAAAACACAGTGATTTGGTGTTACCTCAAAGCACGTGAGTGCCCTCTGTTGAAATATTAATAACTCAAATACCGTTTGAAGTTCTTCATCCAAAACGAGTAAGATAAAACATTTGAGATTTATGACACTATATAAAGGTAGGTTTTACTAATTATTTATGTTGTCACTGGTAAAGAGCAAAACCAAATAAGAAAACACCATATATTTTAAATTCCTTTTTTTTTTTTTTTTTGTTTTAATTAGCAAGCATCACTAGCCTTATATTCAGTACTTAAAATTATATACTAAGTAACATGGGATTGAAATATTTAAAATATATGCTGATTTTTTGCATAATTTAACATACTTAATTTTTACAGAATTTTCTTAAGTATTAATTAAGTAAACCCATTAACAAAGACTTATTTCCTTTTAAATATCACATAACATATTTGGCACTGAAGGAATAGAAACTTAACGTGATTAACATTAATTAAACTTAATGAACATTTTAAGTTATTCAAAAGTAACTGAAAAACTTTAAAGTCAAAAGAGGAAGTTTTAAGCAGACTAAATACACCTTTCTTCTAAGCATTGTTTTTTGCTGTACTAGTTTCATCAGCATGGGTTTTATTACAGGTATCTCCTAAGAAAAGATGTTCATTTTTAGTGTGAATAACACCAAAGCCTCAGTTTCAACCTCTTAAAAAAATATAACAAAGAAAACAGTTGTTTTTCTCCTTATACACTTTACCACTAGGAAAACATCTCGCATAAAATAATTCTACTGGATTTATACCACTTGCATAATTAGTTTACCTTGGGTATTTTCATACTAGCATTAACCAAGCTAGTACAAGACAGTTCTCTCATCCCCAGCTACCTCTAAAAAGCCTAAAGCAGAAAATGCTAAACAGAAAAGACGATTCAACAACAATGCAATACTTGCTCGCCCCTTGCCCCAACATTATTCTGCAAGCCTAACTACACAAGTATGACCAGCTTGCTTTATATTTGAAAAAGGACAGCTACACATCAACTTGGTCATACACAGATAATACTCAAAATTCCCACCAGCACTGACCCTTTAGCTATAATGAACTACTGTTTAAAATCCTAAAGTGACAATCCATGAAATAATCACACCCTTATCACTAATTGTTCTCAATTAAACAAGGAAATAAAACCAGGCACTCAAAAAAACAAATAAAAAATACCCAAGAGTTAAAAATTAGTTGTCCCATGAGAAGGCAATAAACATTATGAGTTCACTTATATGAACAGAAGCTATTGGAAAGCCTAGATTTGTGTCTGTTGAGACAGGTGTGAGAAATAATTCAAGAAGATGAGTGACCTATTCCAAACTTCATCTGTTTAAGAATTAAACCCTCTGGACTTCCATATATGATTGGGTCTTTAAAGTGTTGAACAACACACTCCCTCACAATCAGCTCAGAGTACTATACTTGGCACATTAGTTGTGAACACTAAACAAAAACCTGTTCTGTAACCAGCTAAGACAATACACACGCAAAGCCAGTGTTAATCATTTCAGTCTTGTGGCTTGCAAAACTGCAGAGATAACAAAAATATGAAGTCGCAAAAGAAAACAGAAGAAACAAATATTTTTGTTACCAAATGTCACCCCACACAAAGGTAACTTTTTTCCTACAGTGGTAATGCACATGGATCAGATCTGATCAGACACAGCAAGTGAGAGAAACACCTTTGTGAGCAAGAGTTCAAGAGCAAAGGTGTTACATGAACCCAACTCAAAACATGTATTAAAGTTACTCAGCTGTTACAGTATCAAAATAGGAAAAGTGGTTTTGGGGCTTCAGTTTTTAAGCATACAATATTTTACACAAAGAGACATACAGAGGATGGGCTGAGTCAGAATCCACAACAGTACCGCTGCCCTTACAGGGCAAACAACCACTTTTCATTATTCTTCTTCCTCACCTGTTTCCAGATTGCACTATTCTAGCAGTTGTGAAACGAGTAACCACATTTAGAACACAAAAGACCAAACGTTCAAAAGTTTTGTAACAAACCATGCCTACTCTTACCTGCTTAAGCCTGAAGGGCTGTAACACCATCACTTATAAATCATCCATTTTATAAATATTTCATGTCTGGGTTAGATTAAAATTCTTCCATTTGGAAAACACCAGAGAAGATATTCTTTCCAAAGGTTCTTACCTTTTCAAGCATGAGACTTTAAAGACTAAGTTAGCTTTATGCCAGTTCACAAAAAAACATGGAAAAATATTCAAACCAGATGCTTATGTGACTGCACCAAAGTTGCAATCCAGCATCAACACCAATCTTACCAACCTAAGATTCATAGGCAGAAAGAGACATTAAATTACTAGAATTTCTCCAACACAGTTTGACCCATGCTTGAGATTACATTAAGCATGAGAGAGCTATCAAAAGCGATGCCCTCCCCTGTTCTGTTAGTGGCTCACTCTCCCTCTGATCGCGTAGTCCATTTTAGCAGTAATTCAACTGTGACAGGACCACGGATTACAGAATTTTAAAAAATAATTTAATAAATAAAAAGCTACTTGATAAATTTCAGAATCAATATACTATTGCTGACCAGCCTCCCAACCCTTTTCAGGTACTCCCTTTGCAAGTGCCTGTTTAAAGATGAGACACGCTTTTTGGTTTGATGCCACAGAACCAGAGGGAGAAATGAAAAAAGGATTTTATAGCAGTCAAGACAGGGTAGCTCAAAAAAACAAGATGAAAACAAATAAATCTGGAAGCTAAAGCATCTGTATTACTTCATATAGATCTTGGAGTTTAGTGCTGTGTTTATTCATTACAGCACTTTGTTAATGGCACTGGCTTACAACTTCATTCAAAATAAGCTTGTTTTCAAACCGACAAGTCTTACAGACAGTAGCTAGAGCTAGTGACAGTCATACCCAGGTTTCCATAACAAAGATGGCGATATTTTAGAAAAAAAGGTGTAGCAGAGGGGAAATTTCCTTACTTTCTGACCACAACTGGTTAAGCAATAGAACACTGAAAGAAACAGGTCAGATCTCCAAGTCTGAAGCTTTATTCCACAGGATCCACCTCCCACCCAAATCCCTGCTGAGCTAGCCACCCACTTCTGAGTACCCTGCTTAAGTTTGCCTCTCTTGTTTCAGAACACATGACTAGCTTTTTCCCACTTTAAACCAGGCTTGATCCAAATTCAGCCTTCCAAATTCGTGGCTCACCTGTTTCACTTCCCAGAACATACTCACTAATCAAGTTTATGTCAGTCCTCCACTGCATTAACAGCCCTGGAATGATGGCAGAATCCTCCAATAAGTAGTTAAGACTGTCCAGGTACTCTTTGCAAAAGTGACGAATATCTCCTTCACAAGTTCTCAGTAAAAGAGTCCAGAAGCCCAAGTATTTTGTCACCACATAAAACAAGCCTGCGTACCAGCAGAGTAGAGTTCAGACTGAAAGGGGCCTGTCAGGTTGTCCTCTCATATTTCAGATCACCATGTCTGTGATAACTGACAATGCTAATGCACTTCTGTTGTGTCGATGCAAAGCATTTTTAAATCCCCTACCCTGCATCTCTGTTTTTCATCTTGAAAGTTAATCCCTTTTCACACAAATTTATGTAGATTAATATTTGGACTTATCTGGAATACATATTGTACACATACACACAAGAGGCACACATACATGTGTGAATTTTTTGTTTTGAAGAAATTAAGAAAAGGACACTCTTGGTTGTTTAAAACTATTTCCCCACTCAGCTGGGAAGAAGGAAAAAAGAAAGAAGCAAGCATTTTTTTAAAAAACAATTAACAGTCATCAAAATGACAAAATAACCACTAATGCATAATTATCTCACACCGATTACACCTATAGAATGTTTTGGTTGAGTTTACTTTTCTTTATCATTTTCCTCAAGCAGACAGGAGAGGGAA